TAGTCACTTTTTTATTGGACATAATCTATATCCTGCACAATAGAGGCTATAAGAAATATAGTAATATAACGTTTAACATGCGATACACTTCCTTTCTTTTTGCACAACCTGAGTGACACTTTCAATGCCTAATGTGACATGTACATTTCTGCATGGTGAGATCAATAAAGTTTATCTTATCTTATCCTACTTTATATACAGCTCAGTCCTGCTCATAAGATGTAATTCTGAAAGATAAGGATGTTATTTCTCCTGGATGAGTGTAGTGTGTGATGTAGTGTGTCCTCGGGCTGCTGCAGACAGTTTGATGAGATTTACCTGAGCGCTCAGTGACCTTCACCTTGTTCTGCTCTGATCTTCTGCTTGAGACGCAGTAATGTCCCCATCTGAGTCTAGGCTGAGTGTGTGCATAGGTCATCTTCAGGAGAAGTCTGAAGCCTCATCTAAGAAGATGAAAAGTGTTTCATTACCAGGGAATATACAGTAATACATAGTTACAGCAAAAGATGAACTGATGCGACACACAGGTATAAAAAAGCCCTATCCCTGGTTAAGCCATTCCTTACAGATAGTAGATCCTGATTATACAAAATAAAAATAAAAAATCCTAAATCGTCTCAAACGGCAATAATACAAAATAGGATTATTTGGATGGAAATACAGTGAGAAAATGAGATGACAACAGCAAATTGATCTCATGAGCGTTGCATTAAAAGCATTGATTTGATAAATGATATAAATGTTATGAAACTGCCTGAGGCTTGATGACAATGGGGAAAACGTGTCCTGCCTCCTGATCAGCGGCACCTCTGTATCCAAACACTCTAATGAGGTATTATGGTTCTTAATGAACCGTGCCACTGATTGCCAAACATCAGTTCGTTTTTTTTGACTCTGCTAATCAAGGTTTTATTAGCTCTTTTACACAGCCTGTGTTTGTGCAACAGATGACGCGTTCTCTTGGAGGAAATATGAAAGCCCTCAATAGCCAAAATTCTTTATTGGTCAAACAGATGCAATGTGGATTTGATGTCAATATCTGCAAAGCAAATAAGCATTTGAAGTCATTTGAGTTTTTGCTCTTATTTACACGTTTACAGCATTACACACGTTTTTTTGCTCCAGTGTTTGACTTCTGACTACAATTTTTCCTGTTACTCATATATGGACAGTTGGACACAAAAGTTGCAGCCTAATGCTGTATATGTGCTCCTGTGGTTTAAAGTGGTGTAAAGGTGATATAAAGTGGCTCTGACCGCTCACACACATAGCATAGTAATTTTTGCTCGATGAATGGTCATTATATCGGTCATATAGAGTGGCTTTTTTAAAGATGCTTTTCCTTTTGCATTAAGCTCTAAATAGGTGGGATTTTGCTTGAGAAAAACAACCATGTACGATTCAGGGTCAGCTATACTGAACATAATCCATAAAATACTATTATATGGATCACTCCACACTAAATTGTACCAATGTTTCTTGATCAGGACTATCAGCTGTTGGATATTATTTAATGCACATCTGGGTGAAACCTACAAAGACATAAACAGTACATAGAAAGACCCTGGTTCGACCAAGATATGAACCCAAGATTTCAACCCAAGACTTTCTTGATGAGAATCCTAACCAATCTACCATCAAGACCACTGAAAAAAACCAGTTTCACAATACAATATTAGTATAATTTCTTAAAGTGGCTCAGTAATTGTTATTCACTTATTTTTTTTGGCTCAATACTTCTGTGTTGCTATTGGCTTCTGGTTCAAGCCAAACTTTAGGTTGGTGTTTAGTGATTGGAAGGCTTTTCGATTGCCTCAAAAAGCAGTGGTCTTTTTTTATTTTGTAGACTTTAATCAACAAGAGTATGTTTTTATCATGTCAATTTACTGTCAGCCCCAATGGTGTTTTTGTGCGTGGATTATGTAACAGCTTCTTATTTTTAGACGCTAATCAGTAATTGAAGGAAGAAAAGAGTTGGAGTGAGAGAAGATTCTTGCTCACAGAAACTGGGGCAGTTGCTGTGCTGGATGTGGTAAAAGGCTTTTGTGTGCTGTACATTCAAAAAGCATCACCCACTTTTACAAGCCCACAGACACTCACACATTTCTTCTTAGGTTTAAAGCAAGTCCTTGTATTTTTTTTCAATGATAATGATTAGTTTGATAGCTTCATTTAAAACAGCACGCCATTTTTTTTTCACATCAAGCTAATGTTGTTTGTGGACAAGATGACTGAACTTCTTATTTTCACAATTTTACTGTTTTGAGTGTGTCTGTACCAATGCTTTGGAGAAATTCTGTGAGAAAACAGCCATTGACCATTCATTCAGTCACTTAAATAGTCAGATTTTTGTCAAGCAGAGTTTGTAATCCCATTAGTTTACTATTGGTTTAACTGGACATTTAGGGATTAATTGTTTACATAATTACCAACAAATTAGAAGTAGGAAGAGTTACATGAAAGCGTTCACTGCCTGCACGTTAAATAGATAATTTGACATTACAATACTGTGCACCTGATTCCACACCAATAAGAATATTATACACTCCACATCATTTCTGTCTTCTCACGTCGTCTTTCAAGTTCCCAGACGCTTCCCTCTGTTTTAATTGGTCTGGTGTGGATTGTTACATCAGACTTTGCTCTGATTAAACCCTATAAAGATGGCGCCTCGTACGGTCGACATGGCTCTTTGCTGCTCTCTTTTTCTTTTGTTTTTACTTTTTAACTGCGCATCTGGCTGTTCCTACACCCGTGAGGAACTTATGAACATCCGACCCACCGTTCCCATGGACCTATTGCCTGTTTTCTTGGCATCTGCGGCTGATTTAGTTCATGTTCTAGCCAAAAAAGTGTGGGCCCGTAAAAGGGGAAAGCGCGGAGGCCTGCTCGTGCGTCTTAGGAGGAGAGGAGCGCGCACGGCTCTCCCCGGCATTTTTCTCTCCAACGTACGCTCACTGGGCAATAAGATGGACGAACTCAGCCTGCTCATGAGAAGAAACAAGGACTTCGCCACATCCTGTGTCCTCTGCTTCACTGAGACCTGGCTAAATGAGCGGATCCCGGACTGCGCTCTGGAGCTGCAGGGCTTTGGGCTGTTCCGCGCGGATCGCCATTGTGCGCTCTCAGGGAAGAGCAGAGGCGGTGGGCTGTGTTTCTACGTCAATACAAACTGGTGTAACGATGTGACAGTGATCTCCAAGCACTGCTCTCCTGCTCTGGAATATCTTTTCATTCATTGTAAACCATATTACTCCCCGCGCGAAATTGTTTCATTCATTCTTGCCTCTGTTTACATACCGCCATGCGCGGACGCGCGCGAGGCTCAGCGCGCACTCGCAGAGCAAGTACTGTGTATGGAACGCTTATACCCGGACTCTCTGATTATTATCCTGGGGGATTTTAATAAGGGAAACTTGAGCCAGGAATTACCCAAATACAGACAGTTTATCAAATGCCCGACCAGAGAGGAGAACACTCTGGATCACTGTTACACCACCGTGCGCGGAGCTTTTCGCGCTGTTCCCAAGCCAGCCCTCGGCTTCTCAGATCACTCCATGATACATCTGGTTCCTGCTTACAGACAGAGACTAAAGCTCTCTAAACCTGCAATGAGGAGCTCCAAAGTGTGGTCTGATGAAGCTGTGGAAGAGCTGCGCGCATGCATGGAATCTACAGACTGGGACCTTTTCAGAGCTGCCACAGATAGTTTGGATGAATATACGGACACTGTGACGTCATACATTCACTTCTGTGAGGATAGCATCATTCCAACAAGGACCAGGGTCATCTATAACAACGACAAACCCTGGTTCACTGCTAAACTCCGGCAGCTCAGGAAAGCAAAGGAGTCTGCTTTCAGGGAGGGGGACCGCAGCGGCTACAAAGCAGCTAAATATCAGTTCAGGAGAGAACTGAAAGCAGCCAAGTCCCGGCACAGAGAACGACTACAGGAGCAGTTTGGTAACAACGATACTGCTTCTGTCTGGAGGGGCCTACGGGAGATTACCAACTACAAACCCAAAGCCCCCCCCTGTGCTGACGACCACAAGCTAGCTGACGATCTGAACTTATTTTTCAGTCGCTTTGATGCTGCCCCTGACACCTCTCCCTCCCCCACCCCCCACTACTCTAACGACCCACCCATCAGCCCTGCCCCCAGCCTAACAATAGCCGCTAAAGAGATTAAACAACTCTTCCTGAGGCTGCACCCCCGCAAAGCTCCTGGCCCGGACCACGTGTCTCCGGCCACTCTGAGACACTGCGCCAGTGAGCTTACTCCTGTGTTCACGGACATTTTCAACACCTCTCTGCAGTCCTGCCATGTCCCGGCCTGCTTCAAATCCTCCATCATTGTCCCCGTCCCGAAGAAGCCCAGGATCACAGGACTCAATGACTACAGACCTGTAGCACTTACGTCTGTCGTCATGAAGTCATTTGAACACCTGGTTCTCTCCCATCTCAAGTCCCTCACCTCCCCCCTCCTGGACCCCCTGCAGTTCGCCTACAGAGCCAACAGATCTGTAGACGACGCCATTAACCTGGCCCTCCACCACATCCTACAGCACCTGGACTCCCCGGGGACCTACGCCAGGGTCCTGTTCGTGGACTTCAGCTCTGCCTTCAACACAATCCTGCCATCCCTGCTCCAGGACAAGCTCTCCCAGCTCAACGTGCCCGATTCCACCTGCAGGTGGATCACTGACTTCCTGACGGACAGGAAGCAGCGAGTGCGTCTGGGGAAGAATGTCTCGGACTCTCGGATTATAAATACAGGAGCCCCACAGGGCTGTGTTCTTTCTCCCCTGCTCTTCTCCCTGTACACCAACCACTGCACCTCCAGCCACGACTCCGTGAAGCTGATCAAGTTCGCGGACGACACCACCCTCATTGGACTCATCTCCAACAACGATGAGTCCGCCTACAGGAGGGAGGTGGACCGGCTGGTGTCCTGGTGCAGTGGTAACAACCTGGAGCTGAACGCCCAGAAGACAGTGGAGATGATTGTGGACTTCAGGAAGAGCACTGTCCCCCCACCCCCACCCTCCGTGATGGACTCCCCCATCACCTCTGTGGAGTCCTTCCGTTTCCTGGGCACCACCATCACCCAGGACCTCAAGTGGGAGCCGACCATCAGCTCCCTCATCAAGAAGGCCCAGCAGAGGATGTACTTCCTGCGGCAGCTCAGGAAAGCCAAGCTGCCTGCACAGATGTTGGTGCAGTTCTACACGGCCATCATCGAGTCCATCCTCACCTCCTCCGTCACCGTGTGGTTCGCTGGAGCCACAGTCAGGGACAAACAGAGACTACAGCGCATTGTGCGCTCTGCAGAGGAAGTGATCGGCCGCAACCTTCCATCGCTGCAGGACCTGTACGTCGCCCGAGCTCGAGGCCGGGCTGGTCGTATCACAGCCGACCCCTCTCACCCTGCACATGGACTATTCCAGCCACTCCCCTCAGGCAGGAGGCTGCAGTCCATCAGGACTAGAACCTCCCGCCACAAGAACAGTTTCTTCCCCTCTGCTGTTGGACTCTTGAACACTTCTTAACCTGTCCCCCCGCCCTTTATAAAGTCACTTTACTGCCCATCATACGTCACTTTACTTCACTGTACTGCTGTCACCTTACATTGTGTGCACCATGTGCACTTGTATATTGTAAATAGTAACTGTAACTCTATTTTATATTTAAATTTATTCTTTAGAAGTGTTTTTTATTCTTATTTTTATTATCTCTTTTTGACTTTTGCACTGAGCCAAAACAATTTCCTAGTCTGTGACCTCCTGTTACTTACGTGGCAATAAAAATGATTCTGATTCTGATTCTGATTCTGATTATAGCATGGCTCGCACATTGTGGGTTTTATGTCTTCACTCTCTCTCTGGCTTTGCTCCCCGCCCGTCACATCACCCCACTGACCTATAACAAACCGGACAGTTCATCTAATATGCCGCCTTTGAACCGTCCAGCAGAGACCAGCACTCTGCCTCGCATCACACCATGTCAGGGATCAGCGGTGTGACAGCTAAGACCTAATGGTTTACATTCACTTCTGTCAAACAAGAAGGACAGGACATTTAATTAGGGGCAATACATTATCAGAGACACCATCTGCTGAAAAAGTCCAGGGTTTTTATGATTTGTAAAAACCGTTGACTCTTTATGTATTTTTATGGGAAAAGTTATTATTTAACATTTAGCATTGATTGATTTATCTTTTTTTTTTTTTTTTTTTTTTTTTAGCATTTAGCATTTAGCATAGCATTAATGTCATTTAGCATTTAACTAAAGCGGATCCTTCACAGGGTTGTGTTTTGAGTTCTTTGCTTTTTACATTGTACTATCACGATTGTTTGTCTTACTAAACATTAACTAACACCACTACAGCTCTGTCACAGAACCAAATCTTAATGGTGTATTGCCACTGACACAATGCAATGGATAATCTCTAATATGTTAACAGCATGATCTATATGACGTAATCAAATATACATCTGAAATAAAACTGACAAAAAGAGTCAAAATCCTACATATTTATTATTCCCACATATGGTAAATACAAAGTGCAGTAGACGAGCAAGTGCAGACCCTTACTTGAATTTCTGATTTTTATCTTTACAAGTCGTGGAGAACTTAGAAGAGAACGTGCGTTTAAATCTCTTGCACATGGACAGTTTTGCTCCTCTGAATCTGTGAGTCAGATGCAGTCACTGAAGCCAAAACACCTCTCCACTCATCTCCTGTGAAAAGCTGCCAGCAAAACATGGGAAGACGTCCAAACCGAGCGCACCATGGACGTGTTGTACCTATCGTTAGCCTGAGATCTTCCATTTGAATAAGTGTCTCTGGATTAGTAAGCCCCAAGAACTCATGCACTGAAGAATTTGACTTTTTGCGCATTTATGAATAACCATAACAAGAAGATGCCCAGTCGGCAACAACTTATAATCACAGATATAAGGTCTCATGTTCTTTACTCATGGGTAGATCTGTACATCTTTTGAACCATGAAAATTGTTGTGTTCTACTGTGATCATCACAAAGTCATCCCATGGTTGTATCCTAAAGCTGGGGCAACTGAAGTTCAAACTTGAAATAAACGTAAGTCTGACTAACTAGGTCATAGTTCCAACAAAATCTTTTTTTTTCTCATGCAGAAATCGTTTTCAAGTGCACTTGCCTTTTTTGAAGCTCTGAAGGTCAGTTTCCTTTCAAATTGTGAAGATGGAAGAGGTTTTTCCAACACAAGAGGCAGTTAGACCAGGAAATCCTTGATAAGACAGCTGAGCTGTTACTATTCTCCTCCATCAAATACTGCTGAAGCTTATTATATAGATTGTATTACATGTACACCAATATATATATATAGAAATTCAATTGAAGTTGCAGACATCACCTTATGACTTGTCAGGTAACGAAACTAAGCTAAGGACTTGTTTATTTACATTATTTGTCTTATTAGAAGAACACTAGGCCTTAAACATAAGCATACATTTTCTAAATGTAATGTTAATGTTTTGTTTAGACGGATTACCAATACACAGCCATCAGTCTTTACATCATGGCTCTTTCTTCGAAAGGGATTATTGAAGTGTAATTCACTGTAATGTAATTCTACCACCAGTTTGTTCATTTAAAAGAAAGCAAAATGTTAGTCAGCTTTAAAACCCCCGTTACTTACAACAGGATGTAAACACTCTCTGCACACCCACACGCTTGTCCACTGTCCTCTTGTCAGCTCAACTTTAATCAGAGCCATAATGAACACAGCTCCTGGTGTCGGGCGTCACACGTCTGTCCTGACAAACCCCAGAGCAACGAGAGAAGGATGCAGAGATTATGAGCTCAAAGTGATGTTTCACAGTCCTCAAGATGGAAGCTGCTTTTTAACTTTCTTCCTTTCTGTATTGAGCTTCAACATTGAGTAGCTATAGTTTTTTTATTCAATATAAATCATATTGTTTAACATCATAACAATGGGTGTGAATATACAATCTTGCACAAAAATCAAAGGCTTAGGGCTGCGCTACATACATTTAAGTAAAAAGACAAAAACAAAAGACCACCCTCACCCCAAATAGTCACTCACATGTCTCTTTCTCTCAAATCCAATGGGGACTGATAAGATAAAGGCTGGATGTGTTGATCTGATGTATAACATAATGTATTTGAAATTGCATTTTAAGTTTATCATTTTGTTTATCTATATAACCAGTTATAGTGTGTATATACAACAGTAGGGGCACATAAAATATTTTGAATTTTGGGATATTCACAAACTCCTAGACCAATTTACCTTCATAATGTTGTGTCCATTTCTATTTAGATGTGGTATATAAGCAAGTGATTGTGTAAAAGAGCCACCAGTTCATCCCAGTGTAATAATTCAATTCAATTTATTATTGTATAGCCCTAAATCACAACAGCATTTATCTGAGAGGACTTTACAAAGTTGTCGATTCATCAATTCAGATCACAGAATCAAACAGTTCAAACACAGAAAATTAAATAATATAAAAAATAGATGGTGATTATACATAAATGTTAATAAGTGTACTGGGTGCAGTTCTGACTGCCCCCCCCCCCCGACCCAGAAATGGATTAAGGGGAAGAAAATGGATGGATGGATGGATGGTTAATAAATGTCCATACACATCCTGGATCATCAACACTGTCCTTATACCCTCCTGAACCTGCAAGAAACAACTCTAAAAAACACAGTGGGGAAAAAAAGAGGCCCACATTGAGAGGGATCCGCTCCCACAGATGGCCAGGCTATAGATCCAGGAGTCAGGCTATAGAACGAGGACCGAGGCCACGTGAGGCAACTCCAAAAAGGGGAGGGGGTGCAGCCCACGAGTCCAGGCCGGGGCACCAATAAATGATACAGACTTGGCTTGTAACTTCATCCAGTCTCAAAAACTCAATCAAAAATGACAAAGCGGATAGCTTTGCGAGGCGAGGTTTTTATGGAAGTTTTCCAAATTGTTTGTAAATTGAGATTCTGCACATGTCTTTTGAATGGCTGTCTGAATTTTTTGATTACATTGACCCTACTTTTTGAATTTTGAGGCTTGGGCAAACTTTATGGTGCTGTTGTAATGGTGTTTTGTCAAGATGATTTAATCTAATTTAGGTAAGAGTTGAAATAATCAGGCAAAGTTACATCACATCATGTTAACACTATGGGTTTAGTCAGCCTCTTGTCCAGCCCATTGTCCTTTATGTGTTTGTGTTTAGCATGTACATTGGGGGCAGGGGCTGATGTGAAATGATATTGATCCGTGAGAGCTTTAGCCTGGAGGCAAATGTATCTTCGTTACATGTGCAGTTGGTGTGAGCTGGTGTGGTACAATGACATAGTTTCACAATCACCGCAGCTTGTGTCACTCCATACAATGAGTCGGGCTGTAGTGGGCCACTGTCCAACTGCTCAATGAGGATGCAGTTTCTACTATACAGCATTCTAGTGTGAAGGCTGTTAACCAAGCATTTGGAATTGTTTGATGGGCATAATGCAGTTTACTTACAACCTAATAGCAGTGCTAATGCTACTGCAATTTCAACAACACTAAAGTTGTCAAAACTATATATAAAATACACACTTTTTATTAATCATATAAATCTTGCTATTGGCGCTGACTGACACATAGTTCTACTTTAAAAATGTTCATTCTCTTTCAGCCTTGAATAGATTACGCATAAAAATACTTCATAGTATGCTTGAAATATACAGAATTTCAAAACTCACTCTTTAACCTCCAAATCTCTTTTTGATTAATTGATTCTAAAATTATTCTTTCTTTCTATTTCTTAGTTGTAAAATATTTCTAACAATCCTGGAAGGGGGTCCATCCCCAAGTTATTAATTTTTGCTATCTCACTATCTCATCAGAGAGCTGCAGTTTCCCCAAAATAAAAAAGGCCAAAGATAACTAGTGATAAAAACAGTTTCTGCAACAATTTCCTATTCTACCTATGCTAAATGTGACATGTATATGTCTCCATTGTGAGATAAATAAAGTTAATCTTATCTTATTTGTTCTGATTTCAGTCAGATACTTCGTATATAAATAAAAATTACTTACTTACTTACTTACATTAAATAACGTTCAAGTTTCATACCATACTGATCACAAGGTATCCATGTAAACAAGAATAGTCTAGAGAGCAAGTTGGACAAGGTACCTTAGTGGGTCCATTTTTATACCTTCAATTTGATCCTACTTTGATAAAGATATTGTTGTGAGATTTGGTTTATTCTTGATTCTTCAGTAAAATGGTGATTAGAGCCTTGGGTCACGTACTGGATTGAAATTCATGGAAGTCAAGGGCAGAGGTTGGTCTGGGCCGCATTGCGTGAAATTGCTTGTCATACTTACAGCAAACATGTCAGCCAATGGGACAACATGGTTAACACAATCTGTAACTTAGCATTGTGTCATAGAGCAGCTGTGTTTGGATCTAGACTGCACTCATGAGGTTATTGTGAATAAAAAGCTGCTTTTAAAGATTTTGTTATGGAAAATGTTTAGGTTTCTTGATTCTCTTCATACTGGACTCCAAACTTTGCCACAGTGTGTTGTGTCTGAATGTTTGTAAATGCTGCCCTCTAGTGTTGGCGTTGAAGTAAAACAACACAAAAATGCCTCAGTGCAAATGACCGACTTTGGTGACATACATAAGATATGGTGAAAATGTATTTGTATGTTTGTGTTATTTTCATTTAGAGTGGGCCTGACTTGCCAGATCCATGCACCACATGTGTTACGTTTGAAGTACATCTTCCACATTAAGTAATATGTTTGTGGCTCTGTATAAAATCTATGAAATCTTTGTTGTTATTGCAGGTTGTGGACACATTATCCAGGCTCTCCTACACAAGCATCGCACAACAATCAGGAGTCAGGTAGGCCACATTTGTGCTTCCAGAGTTTGTTAATGGGTTGTGTGTCACTTTGTCCCTCTTTTGTATTTTCTGTAGAAAAGTATATCTTGCAGTTTTTGACACAGCTGCGGTTGTTAAGTGCTGATGTCATTGGAACTTTGGCTACTTCCCTGTTTTTAGTTTGTTCTTAGCCATAAAACAACTGGAAGTTAGATTTTTTTGTCAATAAAAAAAAAACGCTTAGTAAATTGAATGATTTGAACTCATTACTTTTCCTCAAGGCCGTTTCCAACAGAGGACAGTGTTCAAGACGAAGACATCTACAACCATCTAGAAGATCTCATCGAGTAAGTGTCTTTCTTTCCATCTGTTGAGACGTTTGGGCTACAAAAACATGCGTTCCCTGGGTGTAGCCAGCTCCAGTCGTCAGCATGAGTAATGTGAACTCTCACTTTAACACAAGTCATGTGGGACTGTGGAGAATCGTCTGTTCAGCTTGTATCACATTTAAACTTGCAACATACTCTCACTTCCTCTTCAGTGTTAGATATCACACACATGAAATTAAAATCAATCTTTCAGCCCAAAGAGTAAAATAGTGACTCAAATCTCATTCTCACAAGTAGATAGATATATACACTGTAGATAGATAGATTCTTTAAACACATAAATTATAAACATTTATAACTAACTACTTACCTGCATGACTTAAAAAATAGTGCATATTTTTTAACTCATGCAGGTTTGTTGTACAGTCTGACAGCCGAAGGAACAAAGGATATCTTAAAACGAGCGCAATAAGCCTGTTTCTACGATTACTCCTCTGAGCGGCCATAATGTCATGCATTAGAGCCCTCATCCTTTTCTCCAGCAAAGCTCCCACAGAGTCCACACTTCTCTCCATCACAGGGAGAAGTGTGGACTGATCAGCCTGTTGAGCCGTTTACTGTCTCTCGAGGTCAGACTGCCACCCCAACACGCGACCCCAAAGGACACAGCGCTAGCTACCACAGACTAGTGAAATGTGTGCGTTATCTGACTGCTCACATCAGAGGACCTCAGTTTTCTCAGGAAGAAGAGTCTGCTCTGACCGTTCTTATAGACAGCATTGGCCTGAGCTGACCAATCCAGTCTGTGGTCCAGCTGGACTCTTAGTTTTTTGTAAGACTGAATCACTTCGATGTCCTATCCATTTAGTGTGACCAGTTGATGGGAAGGGGCTCCTGTGAAAGTCAATGATCATCTCCTTGGTCTTGGACGCATTGAGAATCAGAATCTCACTCCAGTCTGAGAAAGCAGCCCCCACCTCCCTGTACTCTGCTTCTTCCCCCTCTTCACACGTGTCACACACAGCAGTGGAATCATCAGAGTATTCAAACGTGAAAACGTTTTATGATAATATCAAGTTTGCAGGTTGTGGTCAGAATTGTTGCTGTTAGACAAACAATATGGATATTTTAGAACAAACGTTAAATAAATATGTTTATCCAAAATATATCAGAAACAGAAGTTCAGATAGATTTCAGATGGATGCACTGCCATTGAGTGTCCTCTTCCAAATACCATTCCATCCATGTGTTATAGATGTTAAGGGGAGAATGAGCTTTTATCCTTAATAGACATTTTCACAAACTGCCCAATGCATATTTCTTTCCAGCCCATCCGAGCCCATATTTCAAAGTTTGGTTTTACTGTTATGTGTGTAAGCCACTTTCACAGCCACGGATTAAGTTTTGTCCATGTAACACGATCTGTAGCAAAGTATTAACATAGACGTCGAAAGGCAGAGCGGTTCTTTTGTGAATGTGTGAATCGATTTGGAAAACATTGCTTTCTTATGCTTGCAGTGAAAAGGTGGAGGATGAAGAGGACCTGTATGACTGTGTTTTTGACGATGAAGATGGAGGAGAGATTTATGAAGATTTGATGAAAACAGAAGCCATTGCTCCTCCGGTCAGTTTTATTCAAAGGTTTAGATTCTTAGGTTTAAACTAATGTTTCAGAAAAATGTCATCTCTTTGAGGGTGTTTTTTCTTTTTGCTAGTAGCATTCCAGATTCATTGTTTTTATGTGATTAAAGGACTTTCTTTTGTTAGTGTTGACAGAGTAGTGTCAAAAAATGCAATTGGAAAGTATAAGTCTGGCTTGGGTGTGAATGCTTAGTGGTGGTTGATATACAGATTGGCAGCCTGGTTTCTGTCAGCCTGCCCTGGAGTATCTCTGGGTACAGTAATGGCTCATCCCAATGTGGGAGACACTTTGTGTGTCATGAAAGGTTCTGTATAAATACCGTAATACTTATGTCTCTAATGACATCCGTTCAGTTTATATTGTGCACATCTTTTGTGAAGTATAAAAGTAATGTGTTATGTGTGTGTGCAGACGTGTCAAAAGCAGTCCGACATCAGGAGCTGCTGTTTGACTGAGATCAAACAGACAGAGGAGAAATACACTGAAACGCTGGAGTCCATAGAGAAGGTACAGAAGCACGCTTTCAGAATTGTATTCTCTACAAACATTGCACAATATAGTCACATGTTTAGATGTGTTAGTTGATGCTAGGTGTTGATGTCTGCACCATATTCAATCACTTGTGAGAAATAGATATGTTACGAAATGATGAGATAGGATACACTGTTACACTGTAAAAAAGAAAAAGTTAGTTCACCTCAAAATTTCAAAGCAACCAGCTGCGAAGGATTTTTGAGTTGAAGGCATTAACTTAATTCTTCACGTTTTGAAGAACTACAATTATTGAGTTGTGTCAGCTAAGTTTTCCAAGTTCTGCCAACTAAGTTCAACTAAATTCAAGTTACTAGATTTCAAGTCTGTAAAAACTCACTTTTTTAAGTTCAGATTACTGTCCCCTACAATAACTTACAATTTTGAGTTTAAATTAGCCTCCACATTAAACCATCATGATGTTTATTTATAAAGCGCATTTTGCAGACCAAGATCACTTGGGTAGGGGAAACCAGAGCACCCGGAGGAAACCTATGCAGACACAGACAATATGCAAATTCCACTCAGAAAGGCCCTGTTCTTTCTGGGATTTTAACCCAGGACCTTTGTGTCAAGAAACGAGAGTGCTTTCCACTCAGCCACCGTGCAGCACACTGTAGCTGCGTTTCCATTGAATAATTTGCAAAAACTTTTTCGATACATTTCAAAATTCGAAAAACCTGTAATTCGCAAAAGCGGCCGTTTCCATTAAGACATATTCGAATAAGTATACACTATTTTCGCGCGTTTATTCACTAGTTTCTAGTACGTCAACATGGCAACAGAAGTAAACAACACTTTGATTTACGTGATGTATATTAATGTCTTGACTTCTGCTGCGGCTCTCATCCTCTCTGACCGCGGAAGAAACTGTGGCTGCTTTGACAGCTCCGCGAGCGCGCGTGGTCATGTACCGAGCGCGGACCATAGACGCGCGCACAGAACCATAGACACGGGTCTTGCCTGTCTCCCCCGTCTCTCCCCCATGCCTCTCCCCCATGCCTCTCCCCCGTCTCTTCCCCGTCTCTCCCCCATGCCTCTCCCCCGTCTCTCCCCCATGCCTCTCCCCCGTCTCTTCCCCGTCTCTCCCCCATGCCTCTCCCACGTATCTCCCAAGTCTCCACATGAAGCGCAGCCAAAACTCACTGAATAAAGCAGCTCGGCTTCCTCCGCTATATCGAAATAAGTGTTTCCATTGCCATTTTGCAAAAAACTTAATTTCGATACGTCCAAAAACCACCTATTTTAAGCGCATAAACTTTTTATCGAAAAACTGTGGTTTATTCGAAATTTGCGCGTTTCCATTAGACATTTTATGATGCGCAAATTCAAATTTCGAAATTTGATGCTCAATGGAAACGCAGCTACTGTGAGCCTGATTAGTGGGGAAAACTAATGTTTCTAAAAGACTGACCCAGGGAATATATCGGGCTACTTTGGCTTGGCCCTGTCGATTACGGTTGGTAAAAATAAATACAATACATATAGTATTACATATATACATATACATATACATATCAAATTAGTTTTTTCAAAATGTTGAATGCAGCCGGTTGCCATGACAAATATTTAAATGAGCAAACGCAGATAAGTTGACCTCACTCTAGCTCGGTGAACTGTAAAAACGACAGCTCAAAATTGTTCACCTTACTCAGATTTTTGCATTCACTGACAATAAAATTGTCAGTTGGAACTGGAGCTGTCTGTTGTGAGCCACTTGAACTCACTTTCAGAAGTTCAATACAACTTCAAACTTAAATCCACTTAATATATCAAATAAGATGAACTTTTCATCAGAAACTTCTGAAAGTGAGTTCAAGTGGCTCACAACAGACAGTTCCAGTTCCAACTGGCAATTTTATTGTCAGTGAATACAAAAATCTTAGTAAGGTGAACAATTTTGAGTTTTTACAGTGTAACTGCTTCTTTTTACACAAACCCAGTTCAGTCATTACTCTCTACTTTTTTTTTTTATTGACCCAAACAGCAGATGTGTGTCCGACCGGAAACATCCATATATGGGCGTTCTGCAACTGACCCATTACAGATGTTTTACTGCTAAAATTGATTTGAATTCTATGTAGATGGAAATGTGTGTGCAAATTGTGGAATAACAGACAAAACAACAATATTTAAACGTTCCCAAGCAAGAAGCATACCACCGGAAAGTTATGTATTCCACCTTTTAAGGCCGAGCTCTGAGTTTGACAGTAGACAAAGCCCTCAATGATGGCGTTTAGCTAACCTTAATACTGCAGGCAGCCTCTTACAGCTCATGCACAGCCACTCATCTTCTCTGTTATGTGAAAAGTTCTGGTGCTGATTTCCCACAGGACCGCTGCACTAAATGACTTTTGCGGCAAAGTGGATGTAGAAATGTAGTTGTGTGCTTGAAGAAGGGAACGTGCGAGGCAAAAGTTGTAACATTTCAAACTCTGAAATGAAATTATTGCCGTGGCACAGACAGATATAGCAGGCTCCTTGTTGTGCTGACTGCAGCGCTTTGCTACTTCACATTAAAATAATAGCAAGGGCCAAATGACTTTCCCATACGTACGTGCACCCCAGAGGGACAAAACTCATTCTCATCTTTCTTCTTGCAGTACTTTATGTCGCCACTCACCGTATTCTTATCCACGAGTGAGACTGAGAAGGTGTTCGTGAATATTCCAGTAAGTCCAGACAAGTTCAGAGCAAGGTCAAGATCTTATTCAAATGTTTGCTGGTAAATAACATGGGGTCACTTTGTTTTTCAGGACCTGGTCAAGATTCATAAAAGTTTTCTGCTTGAAATCCAAGACTCCATGTTACACAGAAGTGCCCAAAACCTTTACCAGATATTTATCACATTCAAAGAGAGGTATGCTCCAGTTTATTATATGATGAGGTTTTCACTGTCGAACCTTAAAGATCTTCTTCATTTGCTAAACAAAATAATCATATTATGTCGATTTTTTTGGCTGTATCATCTTAAAGAAACAAGTTTGTCCTCTTACTCTTTTGAGTCTTTCAAATTATAAGTTACAACCAAACCTTGGTAGTCCCACATGTAGCTGCTTTAGTACTGGTCGCTTAATGATGCAACTCAGTCATCATCAATCTTGTGAATAATTAGAAGAACATTAAGAGTTGGGTTGTAAGCAATTGGGTTTAGATTATTATTGTTAAATCGATAAAGTCAACCAAAATAAGCTTTTTTGTAAAATAATTCTTCCTTCAGGTTATTGATCTATGGGAAGTACTGCAGCCAGGTGGAGACGGCCATTGCTGCTCTGGACGACATCTGCAGAGACAGAGAGGACGTGCGCATGAAGCTGGAGGTGAAACATCTGTCAACAACTCCAGAATGTTTCAAATAGAGATCAAGTTATCAGTAGAATATAAGTGTTCACATACAATCTGTTGTCTGTTTGGTGTAATGACTATACACATACAGTCATACATTAGTCTAATATGGAGTCCGACACACATAGTCTGAAATAGACACTTAAAAGCGTTCTATGGCTCTAATCGATGTTCAGGCTGTGACACAGTCATACAGCACCCCCATGTGGACATAGAAGGTATTGCCAGAACCACATGTTAGTTTTCTTATCCCATTTGAAATCATTGAATGCAACTAATTATGAATATCTATACTTAACCAAAATTTCTACAGCTGTTAAAAGTGTCTTCATGTCAATTACCATAACAATGCTATTTAATACAGTGTACACAAGTGGTAGAAAATGCAGGTTACAGGCTGTGTTTTGCTATGCATTGCAACTGGAATTAGAGTAATAATGAACATATTAGGTCTACTTGTGGAAAAAAAAGATGGTACTTAAAGTATTGCTCTTTGTATTATTATTGTACAAAAGCCTTTTTCTATTGTTTGGACATTATAGCACAACAATGACAATGCATATTAGAACACTTTTGAACACTTTTCTACTGTGTTTGTATTTTATATTATGGTGTGTTTTGTGTTTTTGTTCAGGAATGTTCAAAAAGAGCCAACTACGGCAAGTTTACTCTGCGAGATCTCCTGGTTGTCCCTATGCAGCGGGTTTTGAAGTACCATTTACTCCTCCAGGTACGCAACATTACACATTTAATAGTATTTCCCCCATTTTGATCACACTACTTCCCAATGGAACCCAGACACACGTTTCTAAGCCTTTGACAGCCAAATAAGGCTGCTGTCATCTGTGAAGGCTTTTCCATTCATTTCTATCATTCACTTTGTAAAGTTTTTTCACATTTACTGTCAAGTTGAGCCATTTGAATGACAAAAAGGATATACACTGGAAGCAAGAGGCCTTGACTAAATGTGCAGATGACAGACAGATCCCATCAGGGAGTGTTCAATCTGTCATTGCCTCATTCACTGTCACATCAGCATTAAAATGTGAAACAATATCACATCTGGCCAGTAGGGGCGCTCTTGACCACGTTTGAGCCCATAGTGAGTCTAGGAAGCTTCTCTCTGTTTTGCTCCATTTTCATTATGGCTTTGTGAGTAATTGCCGTTTTATCAAGGTTCTCAAGGAGAACTGACAGAGGAATGATGTTTAACTGGAGGAGAGACGCAGCTATGTAAAGCAGGTGCATTTGAGAGAGATTTACTAGTCAGTCTGTGGTGACATATACTGTAGACAGATGGTCTATAGGTCTATTAAAAAAAATTGATTTTCATTATATCTATTTCAAATACATTTCCCTGACACGCGTTTAACTTTGATCAACTCCAAAGTCGCTAAATAATAAACTTTATGTTGTCGCTTTTTGTAGCTTACCATTTCTAATTTCTTTCAATTTTATTTCCTGGCTGTTTTAGTGAAATACTGTAAATAAACAAAAAAAGACATTGTACTTTTTTCTCACAAGGGACAAAATATTTCACCCATTAGGCCTGTATCAAATACTTGTAACATCTTTTTCATTGACAATTTGTTGAATGATTGATTAGTCAATATTGCCAAATGATGAATAGCAAATATTTGGCATTATGGACTGATGGCTGATTTTCTGAACAAGTACAGTATCTCTATTGGTTGTATGGTTTCATATCAGCATAGTTATTTAACAATAGCCAGGTATCGCACTTTTTCTTTCTTATCAATTACTTTTTTTGCACCCACTAGCGTCTCTCTGCGCTCTCTTCCCCTCCCGTGACCACTTCCTCCTCTGTATCTCCTCTGTGTGATGAATAGTCCCCTGTCGCGGAGGCTGCTGATAATAATGCTCTGGTTGAGCTTGAGTGACACAGAGGATTTGAGGATGCCAGTATCTCTGCGCTCACTCTCTGGGTGTTTGTACGCTCCCGTTATGAAGGACATGCATGGCCTCCTCCCTTATCCTTCTCTAGATGTCTTGTTTACGCTGCAGCCAGGCACCGAGCTTGCAATTTCACATCGGCACACACCTGAGATAGCCGACTGCATACACCGCTATCTGATGTATTTCCTTCAACTGGATTCTTTTCCCAATTACTTTTTTTCATTTACTATCTAAAGCTTACGAATCGACAGTTTGAAATTCCATGTGGGATGTGACAATTCTCAGATCTTTTAACTTCTTTCCCACACAAGGTATATTAGGGACATCCTATTTGTCCTGCTGTTACATTATTGTGTTTATACATAACTTCTACAGCCTATTTTATAATACAGCAATGACTTTCTGAGGTTCCCTGAAGTTTTTTTTTTCTTCTTTTTTTAAATGTTCATGTCAGATTTTATAAGACCATTACAAAACATTTTTGTAAGAGCTTTGTCCAGAGTTCAAACCCTTATTTGATGTAAACAGTGATTTTAGGGGGAATGTCCCAACAAGCAAATAGACATTAATACATATTGATCTTCATCATCCATCCATCCATCCATTTTCTACCCGTTAATCCATTTCTGGGTCAGGGGGGTGGCAATCAGAGATGCCACCCAAGTCTCATAGCACCAGCCCCTCACTGACCCTCTGCAGGTGGTGAGTCCACAGGAGGACGGCTGCTCTCTGAGTGTGAGCATAGCCTTGATCTTTCAGCGGGGGCTTTGGGCAAAGTGGGGTTAAGTGTCTTGCCCAAGGACACAACGACAGCAGTCATCAGTGGAAGTCAGTGGAGAAGGTGCAGAGGTGGGAATTGAACCCACAACCTTCTGGCCTTAAGGCCAATGCTCTACCAACTGAGCAACTGTCGCCCTCCATCATCATTGAGCTATCAATTTTCTTCTGCCATATCTCTTGCCGGTCGCAGGGGCAGCATTCTAAGCGGGGATGGCCAGACTTTCCTATCCTGACACACAAAGAAAGAAACAAAATAATAGAATTTACAGCAGCTCCACATTGAGTCACTGCTGATTGTGATGTCATTGGTCTTGATCCAACAGGAGCTGGTGAAACACACTCATGACTCTTTGGATAAGATGAATCTACGCAAGGCTCTGGACGCAATGAAGGTAGTGCCACTGTTTTTACTGACTTTCATTCATGACAAGGGGGTGGGACAGAAACACAAACATTGGTGTTTATTGCCAAATCACCTGTTAAAGTGGACATATCGTGTTTTCAAATAATTGATTTTTACATCTAAATCATTAATTTGTGGCCTATATAAAGCGTAACTGCAATGCCTGGGTCTGAGTCTCATTATTTGTAGCTCCACGGGCCTTTCTTTTACACCTGTTCTGAGGTACGTCTGAGCACCTGTTTTGGTGCTGTCTCTTTAAATGCAAATGAGGCGCTTTTGACCACGCCCCCATCCAGGTGACACAGGTTCAACTCCACCCCGAGCGGCCATTTTTGTAGTTTCTAAGCACAGATACAATTATCTCATAGAAACTTCTCATTACATCGCAAACATGAAGCAGGCCTTCCTCATTGACTGAAAGCAAATGTTAATTTTCATTCTTAGTCCAGTCTTATTATCGACTCTTCCCTTTTTAGCTTTGGGATCCATGCGCACAGTCAAGGCAAGGAAAGGAAAGTTATTTATATATAGCACAATTCATACACAAGGCAATTCAATGCTGAACAAAATATGAAAGCATTAAAATCATAAATAATCACAGAACATTAAAAAGAAAGATAAAAATATAAAATCCCTCAGTTGTATGCACAGCTAAACAGAACTGTTTTTAACCTGGTTTAAAACATTGTCAGAGAGGAGGCCTGTCTCACATCTTCAGGAAGACTGTTCCAGATTTTAGCAGCATGAATCTGAAAAGCAGCCTCCCCATGTTTAGTCCTGACTCTGGGCACTAACAGGAGTCCAGTCCCTGTGCTCCTCAGAGTCCCAGCAGGAGTCCAGTCCCTGTGCTCCTCAGAGTCCGGGCTGGTTCGTATGGTACTAACATGTCACTAATATATTTTGGAGCGAGGCCATGGAGAGACTTGTACACAAGCAGAGCTCACATGCCGGTTTGTTTACAACAGCGGCCGCCTGGCGCGGGCCTACGTCGCAAGATAAGACGCACTACGTTGACAAAAATGTTTAAATTGAATATTACTTATGCACAATTTTACAGCATTTAAAAACGTTAAGAAAGTTTTTCCTTCTACAGAAGGAAAAAGACGCATGCACCTCCGGAGCCGCAGGTTGCCGACTCCTAGTTTATACAGTATGTGGAAGCAAATACTGTAGAGGATCAGGATATGTGCAGTTTCAACAATAAAATAAAATGCAATAGTCTACATTACAAGAGGGTAATGAACATGTCTCAGAGTGAGGGAGGTGGACACAGACAACACTATTGTTTGTTACAGGGATGAGAATTGGTCAAAAAAGACTGAAATGCATATTGTCAGCCATTTGCTGGCTCTAAATCTGTTTAATTTGTTCACAACATATTACTTTTGGGCTCAAACATGAACTTTTAATGCAATGCAAAATTTAGGTATCAGAGCTTTATGTAGGGCGTTTATTCGCGCTTCGAGAGGAAAGGGGAGACGTGGACTGTTTCTTGCAGCAGTGTATTTATTGGGTGCACAGATTACTCAAAGACACGCATGGTCCTGTGCGCGTTTATGGGGTTGGGTACATGGCCACGTTGAGGCTGCGCGCTCAGCCACAACACGGTGGAGCGGCTGCGAGCGGCTGGACGCTCACAGCCTCTCGCAGCCGCTGGACGCGGAAGCTGCTCATTACAAAGCGGCCGCAGATGCCCCGGAACACTGCGGCCGCTGAGGTGGCGGAATCCCGTTTGAGTGCATACAGCAGGTGCCCCGCAGCAGGTGCAATCAACGGATTCACACTTCTCATAAACATGTGTTTTGTATGAGGCAGACAGACCGGCCCAAATATGGGCATCGGCCCTTTGGGCATTGCCCGGTACGCCCGATGGCCAGTCCAGCCCTGTACATGTTCGCTGGCATCCTTGAGCTTGGACTACAAATTCGAAGTGATGCACAGAAGAGGAGGGCTGGGCCGAAGTGTTTTGTTAGACGCCCATGCCCTTATATAGCAGTCCCGCTGCAAATACTGTGACGTAATAATTCCAAACACGTAATAGAGAATGGCAAAATCAGAACGGGTTGAAAAATCTTACCTAAACAGAATATGAAGTGTTCTCTGCAACCCATGAAGAGACTGATTTCAACTTTTTTGCACTTCTAGAGACTCCAACTACACAACATAAGGCATTTAAGACACAAAAAAGTGGATTTTTCATGATATGTCCCCTTTAAAGCGGAGGTACCTAACTTTTTATGTTATGGATGCAATTACTGGTGGCTCTGTGAATTGGGTGCAGCTCTGACTGCCACCCCCTCGACCCAGAAATGGATTAAGGGGAAGTAAATGGGTGGATGGATAAATAATGCATTTTGTTTTGTCTGCAGAAAAAAAGTTTTGCAAAAAGACCACAATATTCTGTGTTCATATCATTAGTAAGATAGAACCCTGTGAGACTTTGGGCTGAAAGCTGATCGGCTGGGAGAGGGTTTTTGCTTTTCTGTCTGAGAAAGATTATGACCAAACAACATAGGCACTGGAAAGCTAGTGATAGGACCAAACTGTTTCAAGGGCAGTGTTGGATGTAGAGCTACACTAACAAAATACACAATACAATACAATACAATTTATTCTTGTATAGCCCTAGGTCACAACAGAAGTCATCTCAGAGGACTTAACAAAACCATTGAAATCACCAACACAGGTCAGAGAATCAACAGTTAACACATGGAGTATATAAAGCACACACAGAAGAAAATGTCCATACATTACATACATTACAAAACTACTTAAAGAGTAACTAAGTAAAGTAAAAGGTTACTTTTAAAAAGAAGTAACAAATGACAAGAAAAGTTCCTTTTTTAAAGTAATTTCCCTAACTCTGTTTTGGTGAGAAACTAGTTAGACGGATTTTAAGACATAGTGGTTTTGTGTTTAAAAGTTAGGTTTAATTACATCAGTCTGTTTACTAAGACAGCTGAAGCTGTCCAACATGGGTGCAGAGGGAGAGTACAGTTCTATCATTCAGTAGATATAGTAGTAGTATAGTGCTATAAAACATTGTACTAAATCCCTTCCTTTGTGTATGCCGTGTGCAGGACTTGGCTCAGTACGTGAACGAGGTGAAGCGAGACAACGAGACGCTCCGTGAGATAGATCAGTATCAGAAATCCATCGAAAATCTGGTAAGCCCGACACTGCTTACCTGCCCTGATCCAGGCTCAAACTGTGGCAAAAAACTGCATACTACAATGACTGTATTTCCTTCTGTCTTAGAACCAGCCTCTGAAGAACTACGGCCGGCCCAAAGGAGATGGGGAAGTGCGCGTGGCGTCTGTGGACAAGCGGGCCAAACAGGATCGGTGAGATGACAGGCAGCTTGTAGAAGTAAAACACAGACTAGAGAAAACTGTGGGTCATTTTGTTATACTTTAATGAACTATTTACTCATTTGAACTAAAATCACAATAATTAAATGCATTAATTTTTATTACATTGCAATAATAACTGATTGTATCTAAAAAGTTTAAAATTGAAAAACATGATTTTGATGCAGTTACTCTACTTGGATCCACTTATATATTTCACATTGTCTGTTATTGCCTGACCAGCCAGAACAATACACAATGTTTTAGAACAGGAGAATTAAACAATAGTTTTTTAATATCATTATTGCGGATCGATACCGACCAGAAGTACCTATTCTTTTTCTCATCATGGACATCAGGGTGCCACGGCGGTTAGAGCTCTTGGTTCACAGCAATACGGTCTACTTTCCATGTCCTCACCCGTTTGAGAAGGTTTCCTCAGGGCACTCCGATTCCCCCTTCAACTAAAACACGTACAATAACTATAAATATGCATAATGCATATGCCTGTTCAACAAACACAATATTTAGCATAATATGTCACAGACTCACAGTTTGGAAGCAGACCCTATATATGGTTCATTCCCCTCTTACCCTTTGAACACACAAGGCAATCTATTCTATGTGCAAATACTTCAACAGCTATTTTATACAAACTGAGAGACTGTTTTGATTCAATACTTTCATATGACACTGCTGTTTTTCAGATCTTCTCAATGTGTGAAATGTGAGGAAACATTTTACCACCTATGCCTTTGATGCATAAAAATCTTTTTGAAAATGAATTTTGCAGCTATATTCTTGTATTTCTTTCTTGTAATGGAATAACTCCTGTATACAGAATTGATTCAAAATGTGTATGTTTTGTATCTTTAATATATTTAGTATTTAAAAAGCATATTTAAAAGTGTGTCATTAAATTAACTCCAAACTCCACTTTCACCAGTTCCGGACAGTTTCATTTTTAAGTCCTGATAATAGTGTTCTATTATCTGGACTTAAACATCTAACTCTCCATTTGAAAATAAGCCCAGTTGAGCTCTAAAAAGTTAAAACAAACGGGTGTCTCAACATTTACTGTAGATGCATCTGATTTCTTACCTTTTACTTCCTGTCCTCATCATTTATTTTGAGATTGGAAGCAGGGCATTGGCCTAAAAGGCTTTTAAAACATCTTATAAAGTGTTACTTTTATTCTAGCTAAACTGGAAGCTGCTTCAGGAAAGAAAGAAATAACAAAGAGGCTTTTCGGTGGAATTGGATGCAGCCGAATCCTGCGCTCATGATTGACCCCTACCCTGAGGCTGGCCTCACTTGTGGATTTTTCAAGCCGTAGTTGAGCGCAATAAAGACCCATATTTGATTTCAAAAACACAATTTATGACCCATCTGCTAAAATTCAACAATGTTGTTTGCAAATGTAATATGTTTGAACTTTATAACATCGATAGACAGAGAAAACAGTTCGTCTGCACTGCACGACCTTCTCCCACTGTGAGCTGAGGATTTTACGTTACCACTGTGAGGCACCCCTCAACATCGAGCCGCTCTGTCAAATACAGTATACGGAAGCCATAGTGGCATCAGGATGGGTCAAATGTAGTGGACAAATTTCCCTACGGGAGATCCTGATGTCCTCGCGTCAATGATTAGATTCTATTTAGAGAAAAGTGAAAAAGAGATGACCACCCTCAATCTACCATCAGAATGTTTATAGTTTAACTCCTTTTCAGAATACCTGACTGTAATTCTTCCATCTGCAGGCACATCTTTCTATTTGATGCTGCTGTTATTGTGTGCAAACGCCGTGGAGATAATTACGAGATGAAGGAAGTAATCGATCTGCACCTCTTCAAAATAACCAACAACCCCACATCGGACAAAGAGAGCCGCAAGGTCAGAAACTACCTTCACTTACACTTTTCATTCACTTCAATAATATATGGCTGGATTTTGCCTGACTTTGAGTGGGCTATACAATTCTACTATAGGAATTTCATAGTTGCTGGGTCATGGAAGTATTCTCTGCCTTCCTGTAAGAAAGTCATGGAAAATTCATGTTATGGTCGATCACAGGCTGCTGGTTGCCTCAGACTTCAGAGGATAAGTCTCCCCTGTGGATTCTGCTCCAGTACCTGGCAAGACACATGTTTTTTTAACTTCACATCTGGCCTTGGAAAAGATATCGCCACATATTTTCATTCTTTTTGTTTCTTTTTCTCACATGGATTTTGTGAACAATGTAGCTATTTGGGGTTGTTTTGTACAAAAAAACTTGTAGGTGTTATATTGGAGTGCAATGTTTCCCTTTTTATCATGAGACAGAAATATTTTGAATCAGCTCTTAAATAGCACAGTCTTCAGTTGGCATGAAGCCACCAGACGAACAGCAGCGCGTGGTTGCACAAGATGTTAATAAGTGCAAAAAGAAACAGAGTATTTATAAGGGTCACAGTTTGAATTTAAACACACAGAAAAACTAAAATTGCACTAATTTCTTAAGTAGCTATTGTAAGAGTAGCAGACACTTTTTGACATCTCTACTTTGCTGTGGCGGAAAAACACATTTCCATAATCACAACCGGGTAGTTGGCCTCAGACGGTCTTTTTCCCCTTGCTTTTAGACATGACGTGACTTGTGCCAGTGAAATTTATAGTTCACTCAAACAGCACAATTGTCTATTATGATGAATGAGCATGCAGGGAGCGGACATTCAGATTCAGATTCAGATTCATTTATTAGCCATGTGCAGTATAAAAACTACATTGGAATACATTTGCAAAAAAAGGTACTCTGTGTGTACCGACAGAATAAAAAGCACGATACAATGTAATATAAAATACACATACACTGAATATAAAAGAATAAAAAAACAGCTGACACTGTGGCACCGATCAACAAAACGATACAAGGGGTAAAAGCAGGAATTAAAGTGCTCTGTTTAGGCACCTAACAGCCTGTGGAAAGAAGCTGTTAGCATAGCGAGATGTCTTGCATCTCAGCGACCGATATCTTCTGCCAGAGGGAAGAAGCTGGAACATGGCTTTCCCAGGGTGGCCAGAAGAGTCATTGATGATTTTAAGAGCTTTGTTTAAAAGTCTGGATTTGTAAAGAACCTCCAGAACAGGAAGCTCACAGCCCACGGTCCTCTTTGCAGAGCGGAGCACCTTACATGGAGCATGCACAAGTATGTTTCCCAGTTCATATCAACTTCATTATAAAGCAAAATATCAGTCAAAAGCTGGATAGATCCTTGGCACGTTAAAGCAGTGGTATTGCTTGCACTGTTAAATCATATAAACTTTATTTAAGCTTCAATGTTTTATTTTAAAAGGAACACAATATACAAAAAATGTATTCAAATGTTTGGACAATTGTTGTTAAAATCATTCTCCTGTGCAAAAGGGGACATGTCTTGCTCTGTTGAGTTCATTATTGCTACTTGATGGCCAAAGCTGGACCGGTGACAAACCCAATTAGGAGCACTACAATGCGTTGTAATGAGCAGCAATAACCATCCATCAGCTGAATAGATACGTAAAACGGGGCTAAACCTAAGCTGTCGTCTCGCATACAACTCCTGCAGCATAATACATGTATCAAATTCAGCAAATCCCTCAATAGAAAAGGCGTCTTAAATAATTTGGTGCTTGCTTGTTTCAGCACATGTTGTACATCTTCTGGTTCATTTGGGAAAGAAACCGTGTCAGTTTACAGCAGCCTGCCTCCTCCCAGATGGTGCTATCATTAAACTGTGCTTTGGGCCAGGCATCCACAGGCACGCACTGAATACCAAGTGCCAGGAGGTTGGGAAATATTGCCAATCAAAATGAGAGATGAGATGCCAGGACTCAATGATTTGGGTAATAATGAGTCTGTAAACAGGGAACATTACACACGTCCCATTCATAAAGATGTTTAGAGCCAGTTTGCAGTCACTCACTTAGAGGAAATAGGCTTAATATGGTTTGACACTTTATCACAACAGGTGTAGTAGTTGCCACAGCGCATTCGAATCACTGGCTTAAAGGGGACATCAGGCACAAATTAAACGATTACTTTTATTGCATGAATCTATTATGACCCCTTTATAAATATTACGTGATTTGACTGCTTTTATGAGAATGATCCCAGGGAGACAAGCTGATTGCGTTCCACGAATGGGAACCATCTAAATAAACTAATAACAAGACAAGACAAAGTCTTGTCTTGTTATTACACTGCACTTATGAAAACAGTGCAGTGTATGTTTTGCTTTCAATCCAAAAACAAGAATATAGTTGCACGGGAATATAAATGCACAGGAAAGAGATTTATTGTTTAGGTTCTGTTGAAATATGGTTAGTTCTTTAACTTCCATCTCTCTTTTGTCCCAGTGGTATGTGTGAAAATATGTAAATACTCCTTTCTGTAAATTTCCAATCTGAAGTTTTCACCTCCTGCCTTTTCCTTTTCCAAAACGGTATCCTCCAGACGGTCCATTCTGACCTGTACATAGGGGAAATCCGCACACCAATGCCTTTTTGTTCTTACCCGTTGTCTTGATCCTGCGTGGCAACCAGACCCAATGGATTTGCGAGTATGTCTGTTTGATTATGCGGGGAAAGTGATGGCTAATAGAAAGTCTTGTGACATGGGCCAACAGATTCTAGTCACAATTTGGGAAAGTACTTATGTGCCAAATTCACAATGATGTCTTCATCTTGTTAGCTGTCTGAAACTAAGTTTTCTTTATTTAAAAAGATGTGACAACTGCATGTGAAAGTTAATGATCAAACCAAACTTTTTGACAGCAGGTGTAAAGCATACTAAGTACAGTTAAAAACCAAAGACTGTGGTGATATTTCATTATTATAACTTTTAAACAGTGGTCCCCAACTCCCGGTTTTTGGACTGGTACCTAGCCGTGGGACATTTGAACCGGGCTGTGGGACATACACGCCAACGAACAAAAAAATCATTTCCGTATTCATCATTAAACAATTCCTTATTTAGAAAAATATACCTGTTTCTCTTTTGGATCTTGGTCTTGGTGTTGTGTTTTTTATGCTTGCCCCTGGGTAAGTTTTGTTGAAACTTGGAATTAAAACAAATGTAATAGAACAATTACGATAAATCAATTATTTTGTATAATACAACCAAAAACACAAAGTGCTAACGACTAGGTCACATTGACATTCCGTCTCAGAAGAACACTTTTGGTGTATTTTGTCCTCAAAACAGAGACTGGGAGATCAAACAGAATAATGGTCACTGGCAGACATATTGTTATGGAGTGATTGGCATTAGCAGCCTGTGGCCTATGGCGTCCTCTCATCTCTTGCATGTCTCTCCTCTGTTTGGTCTCTTCTGTCACTTCCCTCCAACTCTTTCAAGTCTTTACGCTGCTGTCTCTGAGGCATCGCTCTTTCATTCTGCATTTCTTAGCCTCCATCTGTCCCCTCTTGCATCCTGTATCATTTTGGCTCCTGAATCCTCCTTCCCTGTTTCACTCTTCCTGTCTCTTTTCTTCCAAAAATCTGTTAACAACTTTACATGTTTTTCATGCTTTCAGTGGTCCTACGGATTCTACCTCACGCACAACCAGGGACAAAGCGGATTTGAGTTTTTCTTCAAGACCAAGGAGCTGAAGAAGAAGTGGCTGGAGCGGTTTGGCATGGCTATGTGAGTGCTGGATGTGTGTGCGTGACTTCTGATAACAGGGTTGGCATCAAAAGGCAAATGGCTCATCCAGTTCTTCTCGTTGGACCACTCGAACAGGGACACAAATCACACAAACAGACCCAAATGAAAGGCCTGGGTCTACAAACAAGTAAAATACAAAGACAGAAAGGACATGTATACCCTTTATATGTATGTAAATAACACCCAGCTGTTTTAAGAAAAATAGGCATAGAATTGTTAATAGCAATTTCAGGGCAAATCTAATTTTTCATAGTAGACCAAAGAATTGTTGGTTTTTAGATACATTTGACAGGAAATTATTACATTATCACCTTTAAAACAGTGCAAAGTTTAAATGGTGCACTTCTTTATGGAAAATCTGTTTTGCTTCTCCCGAAATATTTCTGTGCACAACATTGCTATTCTATCTCTATGAAGACCTGCAGGTGACCTCCCAGCCAAGTTTCAAGACATATCTGTGGAGAAGCTATCTGGGTGAGATCAAGGCATTGCTTACCATTCAGAAAAGTTAGCTTACATGGTGCATCTTTGAAGACGAATACCCATGCAGTAGTTTTACCACAGCACAATATTGGGACGAGTCACTGTGGCAAATCATCCTCAAAACATATTTATTTTTATTCCAAACAGTAAAAATGAACAAAATACAAAACAAACAGTTATAAATAATTTGAAAGGGGGTTTGATAGAAGTTGACGCTTTTTTGTTCCTACTCCTCTTGCTCATTCAACACAATACAAACTCATACACTCACACCCACGCACACCTACATTTACATATATACTTATTATCTATTTTCAAACGATTGTGAAAGAAGCTAAAGTAATTTGTATTACCCAAATAGACAGAATCTATATATTATTGCAAATATTACATATATACAGTCCCCCCTTGAACCTTTCAACATTTCGCCACATTTCAGGCTTCAAACATAAAGATATAACATTTTAATTCTTTGTCATGAATCAACAACAAGTGGGACACAATCGTGAAGTGGAACGAAATTTATCGGATAATTAAAACTTTTTTAACAAATAAAAAACTGAAAAGTGGGGCGTGCAATATTATTTGGCCCCCTTGCGCTAATACTTTGTAGCGCCACCTTTTGCTGCAATTACAGCTGCAAGTCGCTTGGGGTATGTCTCTATCAGTTTTGCACATCGAGAGACTGGAATTCTTGCCCATTCTTCCTTGCAAAACAGCTCGAGCTCAGTGAGGTTGGATGGAGAGAGCGTTTGTGAACAGCAGTCTTCAGCTCTTTCCACAGATTCTCGATTGGATTCAGGTCTGGACTTTCACTTGGTCATTCTAACACCTGGATACGTCTATTTGTGAACCATTCCATTGTAGATTTGGCTTTATGTTTTGGATCATTGTCCTGTTGGAAGATAAATCTCCGTCCCAGTCTCAGGTCTTTTGCAGACTCCAACAGGTTTTCTTCCAGAATGGTCCTGTATTTGGCTCCATCCATCTTCCCATCAATTTTAGCCATCTTCCCTGTACCTGCTGAAGAAAAGCAGGCCCAAACCATGATTCTGCCACCACCATGTTTGACAGTGGGGATGGTGTGTTCAGTGGTGATGAGCTGTGTTGCTTTTACGCCAAACATATCGTTTTGCATTGTGGCCAAAAAGTTCGATTTTGGTTTCATCTGACCAGAGCACCTTCTTCCACATGTTTGGTGTGTCTCCCAGGTGGCTTGTGGCTAACTTTAAACGAGACTTTTTATGGATATCTTTGAGAAATGGCTTTCTTCTTACGACTCTTCCATAAAGGCCAGATTTGTGCAGTGCACATCTGATTGTTGTCCTATGGACAGACTCTCCCACCTCAGCTGTAGTTATCTGCAGTTCATCCAGAGTGATCATGGGCCTCTTGGCTGCATCTCTGATCAGTCTTCTCCTTGTTTGAGATGAAAGTTTGAAGGGACGGCCGGGTCTTGGTAGATTTGCAGTGGTCTGATACTCCTTCCATTTCAATATAATTGCTTGCACAGTGCTCCTTGAGATGTTTAAAGCTTGGGAAATCTTTTTGTATCCAAATCCGGCTTTAAACTTCTCCACAACAGTATCTCGGACCTGCCTGGTGTGTTCCTTTGTCTTCATGGTTCTCTCTGCGCTTTAAACAGAACCCTGAGACTATCAAAGAGCAGTTGCTTTTATACGGAGACTTGATTACACACAGGTACATTCTATTTATCATCATCAGTCATTTAGGACAACATTGGATCATTCAAAGATCCTCACTGAACTTCTGGAGTGAGTTTTTTGCACTGAAAGTAAAGGGGCCGAATAATATTGCACGCCCCACTTTTCAGTTTTTTATTTGTTAAAAAAGTTTAAATTATCCAATACATTTCGTTCCACTTCACGATTGTGTCCCACTTGTTGTTGATTCATGACAAAAAAATAAAATTTTATATCTTTATGTTTGAAGCCTGAAATGTGGCGAAATGTTGAAAGGTTCAAGGGGGCCGAATACTTTGTGTATAAACAAAATTGTCCACTCACCTTTGGCCCTCCGCGGGCGGTTATCCCTCTCTAAGCTTGGGTCCTCTACCAGAGGCCTGGGAGCTTGAGGGTTCTGTGCAGTATCTTTGCTGTTCCTAGCACTGCACATTTCTGGACCGAGATGTCCGAGGTTGTTCCGGGGATCCGCTGTAACCACTCATCTAGCTTCGGGGTCACTGCCCCGAGTGCACCGATCACCACGGGCACTACTGTCACCTTTACCCTCCAGGCCCTCTCCAGCTCCTCTCTGAGACCTTGGTATTTCTCAAGCTTTTCATGTTCTTTTTTCCGGATGTTACCATCGCTTGGAATTGCCACGTCCACCACCACAGCTGTCCTCTGCCCTTTGTCTACCACCACGATGTCAGGTTGGTTTGCCATTACCATTCGGTTGGTCTGTATCTGGAAGTCCCACAGGATCTTCGCACGCTCATTCTCCACCACCTTTGGAGGAGTTTCCCACTTAGACCTTGGGGTTTCCAGCCCATACTCTCCACAGATGTTTCTGTACACTATGCCAGCCACTTGGTTATGGCGTTCCATGTAGGCCTTCCCTGCCAGCATCTTGCACCCTGCAGTTATGTGTTGGATCGTCTCAGGTGCCTCTTTGCACAACCGACACCTTGGGTCTTGTCTGGTGTGGTATATCTGGGCCTCTATCGCTCTGGTGCTCAGTGCCTGTTCCTGTGCAGCCATGATGAGTGCCTCTGTGCTGTCCTGTAGGCCAGCCCTTTCTAGCCATTGGTAGGACTTCTTGAGATCAGCCACTTCTGTTATGCTCCGGTGGTACATGCCGTGTAGGGGCTTGTTCTCCCATGATGGGCTCTCCTCCAGCACATCCTGGACAGTGGCTCTCACACTCACTAGTCCTCGGCCTCCTTCTTTACGGCTTACGTACAGTCTCAGGGTGCTGGATTTGGGATGGAACCCGCCATGCATGGTAAGGAGCTTTCGAGTTTTAACATCCGTGGTCTGAATCTCTTCCTTTGGCCACCTGATTATTCCTGCAGGGTATCTGATCACTGGCAGGGCGTAGCTGTTAATTGCCCGGGCCTTGTTCTTGCCATTGAGCCGGCTTCTTAGGACCTGCCTTACTCGCTGGAGGTATTTGGCAGTTGCCGCTTTCCTCGTCACCTGTTCGAGGTTGCCATTTGCCTGTGGTATACCGAGATACTTGTAACTGTCCGCAACGTCTGCTATTGTTCCCTCTGGGAGTGAGATCCCTTCTGTGTGGACTACCTTGCCGATGTCATGGCTGTAGATCCTGGTTGTTTGGATCAGAGAGTCGATGTCTCTCTCGCTCTTGGCGTACAGCTTGATGTCATCCATGTAGAGGAGGTGACTGATCTTTGCTCCGTTCCTGAGGCGGTATCCATAGCCAGTCTGGTCAATTACTTGGCTTAGAGGGTTGAGGCCTATGCAGAACAGTAGTGGGGACAGAGCATCTCCTTGGTAGATACCACATTTGATGGTCACTTGTGCGAGCGGCTTGCCATTTGCCTCAAGGGTGGTCTTCCACATTCCCATCGAGTTTGCAACGAAGTCCCTTAGAGCCCTGTTGATATTGTACAACTTCAAGCATTCCATGATCCATGTGTGTGGCATTGAGTCGTAAGGCTTTCTGGTAATCAATCCAGGCTGTGCACAGGTTGGTGTGTCGTGACCGGCAGTCTTGGGCGACTGTTCTGTCAACCAGGAGCTGGTGTTTGGCTCCTCTGGTGTCCCTACCAATGCCCTTCTGTGCTGTGCTCATGAATTGTTCCATTTGCCCACTTATCTTAGCCGCAATGATGCCTGACATGAGCTTCCATGTTGTGGAGAGACAGGTTATTGGCCGGTAGTTGGAGGGGACTGCACCCTTGACAGGGTCCTTCATGATCAGGACCGTTCGCCCTTCGGTTAGCCATTCTGGGTGAGTCCCATCTCTCAGCAGCTGGTTCATTTGTGCTGCTAGGCGCTCATGGAAAACTGAACACACATGCATTGAAGGATTCACTTTCACACGTAAAGACACCAACGAAACACGGAAAGCTGAGGACACCAATGCTAAAACATGATGAACCCAAGAGCATGCTAAAGACTGCAAAAGAAACAAGAAGAGGGAGGGGAAACACAGAAAAGAAGACAGAAGCGATACCTGTACCTGACCAGAAGGGGGCAGAAGAGGGAGGAACAAAGCTGCAGCCCGTGGGAGATAAAATAGACAGGCCGCAGAGCAATGGGGCTATGGCGGGCGGGGCAGGCAGGGGGCACAAGAGGCAAGGGGCAGGGCAGGAGAAAAGCAAAAGCAAAAAAACAGTTTAACCTACATATGGTGGTGCAGAGTAATAATGTCATTCATTTGTACTTTGCTGACTTTAACATCATTGAAAGCTGCTAACTACAGGTGAACTTTGAGTATTTTTTCAGATTTTAAATATAATTTCTGTAATGATACATTTTATTTGAATGTTACTCTAATTTTCTGAGTTTC